ACCCACGGAGCCTCCTCAAGCCTCCTCAAGGGGATACATACTAAAACGCATTGAGGGAGTATCAACACCTGTGGCTGTGTAGGATCAGGGCATCCCTTGTAAGGAATCCTGCCCTATAGTACTAACCTCCCTCCAACAGAGATGGTTTGTGGATGAAAACAGTCTTCCAAGAGGCCAGTCTATCCGTGTCCATGTTTGTTGGATCGAGGAACACTGACAAAATGTGTATGGAGAGTTGCTCAACAGGGCGAACCCCCTCGCACAGGAAAGGCTGGCCGCTATCTGCCACAGCAGGCATCCATTTGGTTGTGATTGCTTTTGATTCGCAGAGACTGGGGGCATTTTGGTGTTCTGTCACAAACATAGAAGCTGAAAATTGAGAAGGACGCTATTGGGTGGAGGCCATCGCAAATAGGTTGGAGGCCATCGCTAAGAAGCTACTAGTAACAAGGACAAAGTAAACATAGAAGCTGAAAATTGACATTTGAAGTGCATAGGAACAGTTTACGTAAGCAAGTGGGGAGTTTTTCTCACGCAGCTCGTTTTGGGTTTTGCGTTGTCCTTTCTGAGAGCAAGGATTTGTGCAGTCCGTCATATTGAGCCGCACACTCAAAGTCGGCAAATCTACAAATCTGTACTCCCTGCCTTGCATTTCTCTAACCAGACCCCTTTCCACCCTTGCAGGAGTGTGCTCCAGCATATCTATACAGTATCAGTATACATCCCTCTAGTTGAACATAGTGCAGCATCCGGCTCAATTATAGTCGTCGAAGGAAGGGTCGCGCGCTTCACAAGATGGCTGTAGCACCCACCGTGGTTCAGGGAAAGGTCATTGGCACCATAGCTGAAGGACCTCGGTTGACTGTCGGTTGACAGTCAAAATAGAGAACAGTTCTTCACAATAAAGATCTGCGTCAAACAAATGGCCATACAAAATTGAGCCGGCAAAGGATGACTGGAACATGTGTTGTTTTTACAATACAGGTGCTCCTGGGAGATGCGTGTTCACACAAAAAAATTAGCAAAAACACTGTGTTTTACAGTGATTGTTGGCTAAAACATCACCAACACCTAGGTTTTGAGCTATTTTTAGATCAATTCTGTGAGGACCAGGCCTATAACAGTTTAATTACAAGGGATACATTGTGTTTTTTGGCTAAAACATCATCAAAACATACCAAAACCTAGATTTTCAGCTATTGTTAGATCAATTTTTTGAGGGCCAGGCCTATAACAGTTTTGAGGAATTTTTACAAAACCAAAAAAACAAAAACCAAAAAGCCAAAAACAAAAAAACACACACAACAAAAAAACGCAATGTTTGAGACAAAATGGGGGTACTTTTGGAGTTGGATTTGCTTTTTTTTTGGGGGGGGGGGTGCCTCCATTTTGTCTCAAACATTGTTTTTTTGTGTTTTTTGGTTTTCTCTTAAACTTTGTCGTGCAGCACACATTCGTGATAAGTTGCACAGTCTTTTTGATTTATTGCATTTCTAACACGGATGCATAGATTTCAGGGTTTGTACGACGGCTTTTGCCAAGTACTGGCGCCACTGTACTTCCGACAGTATCGCTAAACGCAAGTCCTGCGTAGAAAATTTATAAAAGCCATTGAAATTTGATCTAAACGACTCTGGAAAGGCTACCCCTCATGAAGCCACCATACCCTAAATAAAGTGCACCCTAAATAAAGCTAAACATGTTTGTTGCCTGTTCTAAGAATCTAAGTAAAGTTTCCTTTTATTTCCTTATTAACTTCCTTTGCTAGAATTCCCTTTTTGTTCTAAGTAAAAACTCATTTCACTTATTAAGCTCCTTTTTTAGAATTCCTTTTCTGTTCTAAGTAAAGATGCATTTCAATTCCTTACTAAACTCCTTTCTTGAAGCCACCATACCCTGAATAAAGTGCAGCCCAAATAAAGCTAAACATGTTTGTTGCCTGTTCTAAGTATCTAAGTAAAAATTAGTTTAATTTTCTCATTAATATCCGTTCTTAGAATTCCCTCTCTGTTCCAAGTAAAAATTCGTGTCACTTATTAAACTCCTTTCTTAGAAGTCCCTTTCGATTCTAAGTAAAGATTCATTTGATTTCCTTGTTAAATTCCTTTCTTAGAACTTCTTTTCTGTGTCAACAAAAGAGTCTTTTCATCTCCTTCTTAAATTGTTTTTTCTTAGAAGTCTCTTTGATCTCAATTCCAAGAGTTTGTCCTAAGTAAAGATTCATTTCATATACTTCTTAAACTCCTTTCTCAGAATCTGGAATGAACTTTATTCAAGGTCAAAGTCAGGGTTGAGGGGGGGGCCTGTTTATTAACAATATGGGTGCTCCTGGGATATGTTTTCTACAAAATGGACACATAAAAATACATCATGAAAAACCAGGAAGAGACTAAAGTAATATCATTGACATACATGTTCATCTTGATATATATATATATAGTATTATATATATATATTCGCATTGCGCGCAGAGAAAGATTAACCTCCTCGTCATTGGCGTTACACATTGATAGTAAGCAGACGAAGAGCTGTTAATTGTTGTAATTGACAATGCACATCCAGACTGGGCACAGGAAGGTTGAAAAATATGCGTTTTGCCTAGGTTCCAGAGCAGTTTTTGAAAATGTTGCACGGTGTTTACAGTGTTTTCTAAAGGTTTTGAGCTAGTGTGTGCTCTCCCAAGCACACCCGCCCTCTTTTTTAACGCATATGTGTTGATATTGTCTCATGTTCAACATTGTTAACTAAGTGAGATGAAGGGAGGCATACAGGGCACGCCCTTGTCAGGCGCCTGAGGGCGAAATGTCTTGCACCTTGTGGAACGCCATCATTTCGTTATATATAACTTTACCTACTTTTGGCCCGAAAGATCATGCCTTCTACAGGAGCTGGCTGGTTTTGCATGTGAAACAGGTGGAGAAATCTTCTTTGACCTGCAGTCTTCACGTCGCAGACAAGGTCTGGGTCTCCGCTTTCGACCGCTGAGGCAATGCCGATCCAACATATCCCCCATATCCCGCATATCCAGCATATCCAGCGCAGCTTGGAGAAACCTCAGATGCCTGGAGTTCCTGCTGAGGGCGGTCTGTGAAACGGGTGTTCTTATTATTGTCAGGTCAGTGATTCTGAGATGTGTGAGAAAACCAAACTGACACATCCGTTTGCCTGTTTGTCATCCTTCCAGAGGCCCAAAGAGGCTAGAACACCGCCCTGGAAAAACCAACAACTCTCAGCCATACCGGCTATATACCCTACAAGAACCAGAAAGCCCAGTCTCTTTGGAAGGTTCTTTTCGATTGAAGAGGGTACCCAATGTTGTTCGGCGGACGGAAACCAGAGTCGAACAGAGGCCATCAGCTTCCTGTCCACCAGCGGCCCCCTATGCCTTCAGTGGAGCGGCTCCATCACAACCAGCACCAACACAACACGCGCATCTCGTGGCTTGGCATCCCGGGGATGAACGGATGAGACGGAACATGTTTAGATTTAGATTCAACAAAAGTTGAACTTGTGTTTATGATTGTTCTTTACACTGTCTACACTGTCTTGAGCCGGATGCACTAGCAGATACAGTATCCAACATTTACTCTAAACTCTAAACTAAATGGAAACAGCTGGAAAGAAGGGGTAAGAGGTGGTTTTCAGGACTCCTTGGTTCTTGCATGGCTCTCAGGAGGTGTTGCAGGCATCCTGTCGAGATGCTAGTCTCCCCCCGGAGATCCGCTTGAGCTTCATCAAGAAGGCTGTGCTGTGTTGACCCATTTTCATGAGCAGGTTGGCGATTCCGAGACATTCAAGTGTTCTGTTGTGTTCTATTGGGGTCTGTCGTGGATAACCAAACAGTGAAAGCGCGTGCAAGCAGTGAACAGAGAAGGTATGTGCAGCTGTTGTCTGGAGCAGCCGCGAAGAAGATATCTTTCAAACGTGAAACGGCTAAGGGAATGGGATGTTTGGAAGATTGAACAAATGTGTTTGTCTATATTATTCTATATTGAGAGCATTGCTGTAGCAATTCTCTAATTTGGAGGGATTCAGATATCCTTACATCCAAATTATGTTTCAGTCAATGGAAAGTGATCAGATGTGTAAATGTTGGAGCAGGCTCCGCGTTTGTTTTGACGGATGTCGCATGCTTTGTGCTGGACACGTCTTCAGTAGGTGGGGTGGCCAGCCATGGAGCGTTTGAAGGACAGGTTGTTTCTAATAGCAAACATTGCTCCTAGTAGTAAGGCACTTGTTACTAGAAGCGATGCACTTGTTTCTACTAGCTTCTTGTTACTACTAGTAAGGCACTTGTTACTAGAAGCGATGCACTTGTTTCTACTAGCTTCACTTGGCAAAGCTCTTGTTTCTATTGATAGATATTACACAATGTAGATGTTTAAAGCGGTCAGGCTTTTTGGACATGCAACTGTGTGGCTAATGATTCAACACAACCCGCCCAGACAATAGCTGGAGCTTTTTTCTGATGTCCCTAGAACTCCTGGTAGTTCAGCCTTTGCCCTTGATCTTGTGACCCATTCAAAACGTTTCATACCATCATCTAAACTACCACCGTTTCTTTCGGCCACATTATGCCGCCGCCGAGACTGGACATGTCACAGGTGTATGGTATTTTGGGAGTCATGCTGCTCATCACGTTTGGCATCGGTCTCTTGGCGACGTCTCTCGTGCACGTCGCTGGGTCGACAGGTTTCTCGCATAGAGACCGGTTTCTGCGTCGACTTCGCTGAACAAGAAAGGCATAGAGAAGCATATATATATATATAATTATATAATGGAAACTGAGTTGGAAACTGTAGCCCTCATGGTTTGTAGCTTCCGGGATTTGTAGCTCTTGTATGCTGTTGGGGCTGCGGCCCTGTTGACTGCTGGTTGAAGCAGGGCGATTGGGCCATTCACCTTGTCGTTGGTATTTGCTTTTTCACGGATTGGCGAGTTGATATTTGCAGAAAACGGCAACAGACGGACAGACAGATCTGTCGTGTTGTTGTGAATTGATGTTTGTTTGTCGTTGTTTTGCTCAACTGCGGATTTGCGCCTTGAGAGGTACGCCTTTTATCTTTGCCACTAAAGCAACCCTGAGCTTCTTCCAAGCGAATGTGTGGATCGTTTACATTGTGGGCGCCATCCTGATTGCCCAGGCGCACTGCCAAACTTGATGCTTGCTACTCATTTGCCCCTAGGGTTCGCGGGATCCACTTGATCTACAAATCGAGCAGAAGAGGTTACAAAGCACACTATGAGGAAGATGTCATTCCAGGGGCAACTCTGTATGAAACATGAACAACCATCCAGGTTTGACAGCAACCAGAAAACACAATAAACATACAATTTACACAATCTGGTGTTGCACCAGGAGACAACAAGATCCCTGATCGCTTTCAACCTTTGACTCCTACAAGAGAAGCACTGTCTTGAAAGAGGTTTGTAAGATGTTGTGAGGAGGGAGCAAACCATAGCCATAGTTCTGGGCACGAGTGAGCTTTGGTCAGCTTAGGTGATCTTTGATCTCGCAATGTCTTGCCAGCTTTGCTGTGGAGGGACCGGATTGTTGCAAAGCTACTTCTGGATACCTGCCTGACCATGGCACTATTGGTTCTTCATGTTTCTAGAAACGTATTCAGTATTTTTGTTGTGCTGCCACTACCTCTACTGAGGATGATGAAGACTTCGCCTTGGAACTACCTCTACCTCTTGACCTTCTCCGTTTGTTTCGGGGTCATTACAGGCTTCATTTGCGCCCAGTACACCGTGCAGTCAGTGATGTTGGTCTTCGCTTTGACCTTCGTTGCCTGGAGTCGAGAATCCCCTGAGAGGAGAGTTCCTTCGTTCGTCCCAGGAATCCACTGAAGTCCAGGTTGCTGATTTGGGGTATGTATGAGCGGATTTGGCCGTCTTCCACCCCACCCTGCAGCTTGGGTCCTGGCTAGAAATCATAGAAATATTAACAGAGCTGAGCTGAGGAGGCTGCGAGTGCTGGCCGTGTTTCCTTCACTTAAAGGCTCGACAAGAGAGGTTAGTACGTGTGCACGAAACAACACCAACGGCTCTGCAAATATCAATGGCTCTGAAAGAGCTGTGAGGAGCCAAGAAGTTTGACAAGTCGATGCTCCCAACATCTCCCAACAGTGAGTGTCAAATGCATCAAATGGCCAAACATAGAGCATTTGTAGCTCAATTAGACATGCCCAAGGCGAAAGCATGACCAAAACATAACCAGCTGTTTGCGGGCCTTGTGGAACACCGGTCACACCCAGGTCCTCATTTTGGCGCTTACCATCTATGCGGTGAAGACCCAGGCTGACTTCACTGGCCGTGGCGCTTACGTGCCTCAGACAAGAGCACAGGAAGAAAGGGTAGACTCAGGAAGATGCTGGTCAGGGGTGTCCGGTTTGAAAACAACACATCAGAGATCATCAGAGTTTGTGTTATTTTTAAAGCATGCTCCTGCTTAATTAAGTAGTCGCTTGCTTAATTAGAGGAAGCTACTAGCTACGAAAGCTTCTACCAAACTTGACGCAGGACAGCTCACGCTTCCTTGAAGCGCTCGCACTATAGACTAAATACAATATTTGGTTCTTAGATGTTTCTGCTGTTCAGTTCATTGAGAGAATCGGTTCCCTTGACTGCCCCTTTCGACTTCGACGTGGTTTTTAGCGTCGACCCATGTGCTGGACCGCGTTCAAGAGGATGATATGAGGGCATAGAGGGAGTCTTATCAGGAAAGAAGGGCGAGTTAAAATTATTGTGGATGTTTAGATTTCAGCTATTGCATCGTTGAGCAAGTGACCAGTCATTGCACATCTCATACTTACGCACAAACATCTCGTTCCTCGACAAGTGTGATTTTTCCTCGACAAGTGTTTTTTGTCTTCTACTGTAGTGCTTATATATAGAGAGAGAGATTTATATAGTATCAATCTGGGAGTTGCCCTAGTGCTCATGGCTCCACTGAACCAGAACGGACTGGTGTTTGACAGCTTCACTGCTTGGACATTTTATGCAAAAACGACCTAGTTGCAACGCGAATACTCCAATGTGCATGTATTCTCTCATGCAAGAAGTGCTGAATGGGGAAAGATGATGAGAAGGCTCGTGCTTTCCACCACACGACGGATCAACGCTTCGACATCCCCCTGGCTGAGCTAAGATCATGGTGCTGATTCTGGGTCTTCTCATGTTGCTGTTGGTCTACTCCTTCTTTCCCGGCAGTGTCTTGGCCAAGATCTGTTTCAGTTGTTTTCCGTTGGATTGGTGCTGCAGCGGAAGTTCTGCGCGACGTTAGCAGAGGTGGAGTTCCGCCCCCGCAGAGCTGGGGCCCTTCCTTGGTTCAAGGTGACTCTTCCCAGACCAAAGATTTGGGGTCCATTTTGGATGAGTGAGGCACCCGTTCCGAACCCTAAAACACGTCAAGTGCAACCAAGTGCAGGTGAACGGCCTGGACACAGAAAGTGGCACATGGGAAAACAACTTGTTTACACATCAGGGTGCTGTTCAACTCTCATCAACTATTGATTGAAGACAGTGTGAAGTTCCAGTAGGGAGGCATGGTTTGTTCATGTTTGTTCACAACTATATAAGAGTAAGGTGAGTTCTTTATTTCGAAGGCATACCAGGTGTGGTGCATCCTTCCTGCCTACATAATCAGATAGGGCTGAGATTGGGATGACCACACCCTCCTGGTGTGCCTTTCGACCAGCGCGACTGATCACTGATCCGCAAGAGCAAGCAGAAACTCCCAGCCACTGGTGACGGCTCTTGCCACCACTAGCCCACCGAACGAATCACGTCGGAATAGAACAACGGCAAGGTCGGACTGCTGGCTGGACCCCTGGGAAAAGGACCCCTTATGGACTAGGGATGGCCTCCAACCCAAGAGCCCTATGGACTATGTCCAAAAAAAGGTGTGGTGCTTGGGAAGATCGTGGCGGGTGTGGGTGCCATGATCTTCGGCTTTGTGATCGTCTATGACACTCAACAGATCTTTGGTTCCGCATCCGCCTCCTTTGGCGGCGGGAAGAGGGACTTGGAGTACACGCTGGACATGTATGCAGCTTGGAAGCGCTCGACCTTTAGTGGCGGCTCCAGTGGAGGATCTGCTTTTTTCCAGTGAAGCTAACCAGATTCAGCTGGATTCAGTTGGAGGATTCCTGTGCAAAGCTTGATTGCACACCCGTTCCATGAGTAGGTCGGTAAGTGAGTCCTTGCAAATCCACAATATTTCAGATGAGAGTCAAAGGACAGAGGGCTACCTGCTTCACAAAATCTTCACAAGACATCAGCGTGGACATGGTCTTCGACCCCAGGAATTGCGCAAGCTTCGTGGGGCTGTTGTCCAAGTTTCCCATCAAGCAGAACTCGCTGTAATTGTTCACATACTCCACTTTGACCAACCACCTTTTCATCTTCCGGGTCTGGGAGATCAATACACGGGTTTTGTCACAGACGAATCACATTGATGCCAGGGACATCAGGTATTTGGCAGTCTAAGACCCTGTACAGTGTAACCATGACCCCATCAAAAGCATCAACGGACTCCAGCAAGGCATTTGCGGCATGGAACTTGTACCTGGACTTCTTGCAATTCTTCCTCTACCTCCTGCAGCTCTTTGGCGAGAGGAGATGAAGTGAATCCATGAGTGGCACTTAGTCAATTGCACAGACCGCATGGGTAACTTCGCACAGGGAAGAAACTCCTTCCTTTGTATAGGTCCTAGGTAGGATATTTGTCCATTGCTGGAAGGGGGATCCTCTCCCTCTTTTGTCACTTGGGGCAACTTGGTCCGTGTACAGGGGGCCAGACTCAATAAATTCGTGCAACACGCAGAAGTCGCTGGAAACCCTGGCGCAACGCCGAAGCTTGAAAAAGAGCCTGGCGCAACGCCGCAAGCCCCGCGTCCATCGAGGTATGTCGTGTCTTGACTTACCGTGGCGAGGCCCCTCTGTGCTGTTCATAGTTGCAGTGATCATTTGGATGCAAGTCCTGTCGACGGAAACTGCTTCGCCCGGAACCAACACCTTAGGGCGAACGATGTCCTTTGCATCCCACACCCACCCCGGTGAGACAGGACCCAAATCGGCGCGCCCAATCCCCAATTCCGCGAAGGCCTTTTGGCAGCCGAAGCGCGAGGAGGTCTTGATCACCCGCAGCCGCTTCCTTGAGACGGCGGGTCCACCCGCCCGGGATGGTTGAGGGCGCTCACTATGGTCACTAAATGTTGCTGTGAGTTGCTATGTGATTTGCTCCATGTTGTTCCAATCACCAAAAACGTCCAATTTGTATTCTGTGACAACATGTCCCATCGCAGAGCCTCCCGTCCCGTCATATCTCATCACCTCCACGAGCGACGGTCGACGGTCAGCTCTTGGCAGGCCTTCGGCGCGGCCTTCCGGCATCTCTTGCAAGAGTTTCAGGCTAAACCACCAAGGTATAGCGAGGGCAGTGAAACTTGAAAGTGGGAAATGAAGGGATTTGATGGAATGTGGAAGAGTGAAGAGACCATGTCCAACAGCAAGGATCATAGTCCACTCTAAGATGGAGGGGAGAATGCGTATACCAGCCTGAGTTGAAAATCTAGGGGGTGCGCGTACCAGATAAAGACAAATTTGAGTTTCTTTTTCTGCCCTTTACGAAAACCATGACCACCCTACGCATTTTGGATCCACGATGTTACCTTCCTGACGTCTAACCACATTTTGCCCTGCTGAAGGAGGAGATGGCCTCCCCCTTGTCGTTCATCTTCCAGCAGGAGGCGTGGCATTCGGACATGCTCCCCAGTCACAGCTTGAAGGGGTGAAGCAGATGACTTATTGTTACTAGTAGTAAGGCACTTGTTATTAGTAGCGATGCACTTGTTCCTAGTAGCTTCCAGTGTATGGTCTCTACAACAGCAGACCGCTCGGAAGTCTGAAAGTCGCATCTTCGGGAAAACGGCTGCCTCACATTGCTCCGTTTGAGGGTCGGAGCAGGCACGGTTTGGGAAGCAAGCAAGATAGGTCAAGCCTTGGAAAACAACTTTGGAATCTTAAAAGTATCCAAGCTGCAAGCTGCTCTGCCTTCAGCAGCCACTTTCCTTCCTGCACCACTCAAAGTACAGCGTCAGCAGATATATAGTGATTTCTTACTTACCAGTGCGATTCCATGGTCTGACATGACAAGCCACAGTCGACAGTGTTTAGAAGGTGGTTGAAGTCATTTGTTTGGAAACTGCCTTCCGTTGTATTTGCCAGTGTTGGAGAAGGTGCAAAGTGATTAGGCTCACAAAAGTGCTCACAAATTATCAGCTATCTGACCATACCCGGTTGAACAACGAATGACCTTCCATTTGCAACATCCAGCCACGTGGCAGGGGATCCCATATCTCCAGCGTAAACGGCATAAACAGCGTAATCAGCGTAGCCAGCGGAAACAGCAGTAACCAGCGCAGCCGGCCACCGCCAGCGTACCAGCGCATGATCGTTCGCGGACACGCTTTGCCATGTCGCTATTATACTAATATACATATATAAGTGCCTTTTGAGCCACAGGCTGGAGACTCTAATACCGGTGAGGCTCGAGCTAGCCTGGGCATATTGGTGAATCTTCATGGAGGTTGAGGATTATATATTTATATATACCTGAGCAACAAGGAATGTTAGGAATGCTGTGATGTTGACCAGGACGATGAATAAATGTGAAGTGGCCTTCCAAAACTGGAGTGTCACTGTCCTGTGAGCCTGTGAACCACATCAAACAACCTCCATCTCCAAGCAGCTTGGGCTCTACATCGGAGGTGTGGCAGCTCTCAGCTCTGATTGAAATTGTTGTTGGGCTGCTCAAAAAGTAGCTTCCGTGGTCCCTCAGGCTGGCACGTACTTGAGCTATGAGGACAGGGCATGATCAAAGACTTCAACGGAGAAATCCCAGGACCCTTTGAGATAGAAGCCAGTATCAGATTCAGCAAGCCAAAGCTAGCCGCTCTAAACACGGGTATTCATTGTAGCCAATGCTGGGGTGAGAGAAAGGCGCAACCTGGGAACGGAAGAGCCACTAGAGTTACTAAAGAACGCTTCATGCAGTGCTCAATGATGATCAACGCACAAGAAGACGCATGTGTGATAGATTTGATGGGACGATCCACGGCATTTGAGTCATCTGCCTTTGCAGGACCTCAGCCAGTTTCGAAGTGCCATCATTTTCGCTCAGGTGGCTGGATGTGCAGAGAGTTTGATGCAAGGTCCCTGTTAAGCTAGAAAGATCAGAAAAGATCCGCCTGCGGGAGAGGATCAAGATGTGAGACGGCTGTACACTTGACCACACCGAACGGGTTTTGAGAACATGTTAGATGGACTCCCTGCTGTGAATCCATCTTTACATGTGTTTTTATTTGTCCCAGTGTTGACGTTTTCCAAGTCAGGTTTGGCTTCAGCTTTGTCAATTGGGCGTGTGGACACTGACACTGTGTCAACGTGACTTGGAGTCTCCAGGATTTGGGCTTGCACAAGTTCACCGAGCATTATGTTTGGGGCCCAGAGACTGCTGTGAAGTAGCAGGAAGTAGCTATTTCAATTGGCAAAGTAGTTGCAATGTGCCTTGCTTGATTCCATGTCCAAACAAATCACAGACTTTTCACGTGGTTGGTTTCAATGTCCTTGCATGTCCTTGCCATTTGCTGTAGGTTCTTGAGGGATCAAAACTCTTTGGCAGCTCTTGGAGTCCAAAGCATTCAAAGCAAAAAGATGTTGAGGTCTTGTCATGTTGCTCCTCATGCAGCTAGGATCAATTTGCCCAAGGTATATAACCCAAGAAATCGTCTAAAAGTGTTGGTGCTGAGGCAATGGGGATGCCTCTTTGGATACCTTCAAGAGAATTGGCATACAGGCTGGCGGAGTATGGAAGAGTTGAGTGCTGCAATGTGTTTGGAGCGCTCCTAACTGGCTAGCGCTTTCAGTGTTTGAACACAATGTGCCTTGGCCCGGGTTAAACATCCAGTGTGCACTGGTGATCAATTTGTATCAGGGGTCACTAGATACATATATTACTGTATGATACTGAATGTTCTTTTCTCCACTCACTGTATAAATACAGTTATGTTGCCATCGTACCACATAACAAAGATCAAGAAACAACAATTTGTGGAAATCACATGAAAAGCAAAAAAAGAGTTTGACAAAGGTGGATTCTGTCGTAAATTGCACCATTTGGGCCATTTGGGTGTTATGTGTCCCCTTTTCTTTGGCCTAGTACTTTCGACCACCCTCCGGACCTCGCCCCTAGAGCGCTTCAAGCTGTTTGTCAATCCTTGTTTCTGCAGTTGTTCAAGACCCTGGATCCAAGTGTTGTCCCTTTTGCGTTTTTGTTTTTCGCTTTTGTTCCTAATTTGGTTATTTGCCATGGCCATGTTCCAATAAATGCTTATTGGTATCGTAAGAGAGTGCGGCAACCAAGTCGCAACAAGGGGCTTGGTGACCGGTGCTTTGGTAAGCTCATTGGTAGGGGCTGTAGCCAGCCACATGGTCGGCGACTGAGTGGCTCGTTGGTGTCTACCGATGTCCCAGAACTGATTGTTTGCTTTTTGCCGTCACTATATAGTATTGTATCCTCAGAGACACCTCTAAGTGACACGAAGCGAAGATATGTCTAACTATTATGCTTGCGGCCTTGTCCATTTAGCAGGTTTTCTCTCTCTCTCTCTCTCCCTCTCGCTCTCGCTCTCTCTCTCTCTCTTTCTTTTCTTGCACAACGATCCTTAGCTCCCGCTTTTCTGATCATTCTGATTGGAGTGGAGAGTGAATGGATAGATGTCAGATGCACCACCCAGACCATTGGTTTGTTGCCATGTGTGTTCCTTCAAATGCTTGCAGAGGTGCTCCACTGGTTTGCACACTTGATTCTAGAACCCCAAACGTTTGATATTATTATATAGACGTGCAAAGAGCAGCACGATAGCTTGTTTTGAACTGCAAGTTAGCAAGAGCTCCCGAGCTGGGTCTATGCAGGCTCCAGATGTTCGTTCCCTGGGGCATGGTTGCCTATTCAGGAAGCTGGCGCCATAGAGGTGCCTGTGCTGGGATGTGAAGAAACATCCACAATGAAAGTCTTACTTACACTTGGGAGATGAGTGGCAATCATGCCCAAATGACTTGAAGGTTGATTGAGTTGTTGGCAGCAGAGCAGCACAACAGACTCCTTTTGTAAGTGGATTGGAAAGTGATCTGGGTGGGGTCTGGATTTCGCACGGTACTCGGTGCTCATAGTGGTCATAGTGTTCTCGAGTTGGTGATTCCAATCATGCTCGGTCCAAGTAGGTCCAAGCCAGGAGGACGAGGACTGCTCGGGATCGATACATGTTTCTTCTAAATGCTCGGTCTCTCATCAAGGAGCACTTTGAGGTATTGGTATGGATCGGCTATTGCACGCCAGTTAACACGATTTTGAAGTCAGTCAGATCGATTTAGTATCCAAATGGATCCACCTTTGTGAGAAGAGTGGCCCAAAGAGTCAAATCAGTTGCTACCTCCCCAGGAGCGCGGTCCCTGGTGGCACCCTCCGAGGCCCAGGATGTTTGCCACGGATTCCGACATCGAGCGCACCCAGTTGAGGGGCTGCCACCGGCACGGTTAGTCAAGCAAAAGTTTGAGCCACTTGACTGTTCCTACCCTGCAACTGTACAATATATACTGGAAATAGGTGTTTTGTCCTGTGTACATGCGGGAAAGTGCTTCCGATTGAGAATCCAAAGAATACACTCCACCTAACTAACAATGTCGCCACCGCTTGGACCTCGTAGACAAATAGAATCTGCAAACTGACAAAACCACATTCCAGAGTTTGATCTTCCACTCCAAGAACTTCACTTCTATTCTCCGCGAAACAATTGAAGCGCGAAACAGGCAGATCTCAGAGATCGGCCCAAGTGCTGAGCAGGGCTTTGCCTTCCCACCGTTCTTCAACTCGCAGCTGCTCGGTGTCAGATCTCACCCGAGGGAAGAACGAAGGGAAAGAAGCATGGGAACTGTCGAAGAAAGCCCTACTGTATCAAGTCCTTTTGGAAATGTTGAGTCCTTTTGGAAAGTTTAGTGAGAGAACAGATCCAAGATCTCTAACAATGTGGCAAGCCACCAGTAGTCTGACACGGATGTTCACCAGAGGTACCAGGTATGAATCTAGACCAGAGATCAGGCATGATCAAGCTTAAAGACTTCGAACATATGAGATTTGGTAGATTTGGTCGATTTGGTCAGGGTTTGGTACCAACCCTTTTCAGCCTCGTCGATGGCCAAATCGAAGTCTCCGCGTGAGTCCTCGTGAGGACTGCTCCATACCCTCTGGCCGCGACGGCCTACTGGTATGAGTTCAGCGAATTTGTGCTACTCGGCAGTAGATCAGCAATAAAGGTGAGTAGTCACATGGAGTCACTAGCCTGCGGGGAGCAAATCTGGAATTGTGGATCAGGAAGAAAATCGCAGGCTAGTGATAGTGGCTAACTCTGATCAGAATCAAGAAAACCGCAGTAGTGGCCTGCACCTGACTGTGGCTGACGTGCGGCTTTTGAGTCTCAAGAAAGATGGCTCAAGCGGATCATAGGTGACCATGAGTTGCATTCAAGAACGGGAGTGATGTAGCTTCTTGCTCCTAGTAGTAAGGCCAGGAGCCCCTAGTAGCGTCCTTGCTCCTAGTAGTAAGGCCAGGAGCCCCTAGTAGCGTCCTTGCTCCTAGTAGCGATGCCAGGA